CCGGCCTGGCCCACACCCTCAACCAAGGTAGAGTTATTTCCTCTATCTGGAAGGACAAACATACTAGTTGTATATTCCATTTAAAAATTTTTAAATGGGGTATAATTTAGCACATAAAAGTGTTCAACATGATGAATTTATAAATATATATATATATGTAATCAACTCTTGAATAACGTGGGTTTGAACTATGGGGTCCACTTATATGCAGGTTTTTGCTTTTTTGTTCAGTGCTGTAAATGTACTTTTTCTTCCTTAGGATTTTCTTTTCTTTTAATATTTTGTTTATTTGTGCTTACAGGCCAGAGGTGCAGGGATGGTGAGACAACTCACCAGAGACAGAGCGGGGAGCAGAACAGGCAGATCAACGAAGTACACTGCTGAGGGGAGCAGTGGGCGGGTCAGGAGAGGTCTGCCACGCCATGTGGGTCACCTCCGGGGGTGGGGATGGAACTCCCACTGAAGCAGCTGTGGCTCACTTGCAGTGCTGCATCCTAACCTGTTGTGCCACCAAGGAGGGCCCTCAAATTGTTTTTTTTTTAAATGTTAATGTTTTTGTTATTAACCCCCACACAATTACTCATCTTGTGCTTTGTTGAAATGATAGGTCAGACAATTTGTCATAACAATGTCTATCAAAGCAGCGGTGGCCACAAAACTCCAGCACCACATTCAAGGACAAGGCTCCTGACAAAGGACACTGATTTTACCTTTCACCTTATAATATTTCAGAACATCCAGCTTAGCCTTCTTTCTCTGTAGTTATTTTTTCGGGGGGAGTGCTGTATGACGCCTTTTGAGTGCTATATTTGGACAAAGTCCGTCTACCTTTCAGTTGCGTACAGCAAAGACCAGTCTTTTCTGATCAGAAGGAATTTCTTCCTCATCCTAGATCCTGACCTTGATATCTTCTGTTGTATCTAAAGATCTTGTATCATCCTGGATCTTGGACCTGACATCTTCTGTTATATCCATAGAGAGTAACATTCTTCCCCATGAGGAAAACCTGCTCCTTGGTGGTGTCCCTGCAGATGGCAGATCACAAGTGTTGATTTTAAATTAGCTTGCTTCTGTATATCCTACCTGATGTATGACTCCAAAATTTTTGTTTCCACCTGTTGTAATATAGCTGAATGTTTTTATACGATAAACCTAGTTCCCTCCCCTTCTTCCCTTCAGGTAGCCACTCTTTTGCTTTTATAGTCTAAACTTTTGTTTTTGTTTTATTTAGTTCACTCATTTTGAATTTTTGGTCCACCACAAGTGAGTGAAATCATAGGCTGTTTGCCTCTCTCCATCTGATCATGATCCACTTAACTGAGCACAGTCCCTCTAGCTCCATCCACGTTGCTGCAAATGGCAAGGTTTCATCTTTTTTTTTTGGAGTTACGTGACATTTCATGGAAATGTGTACTACGTTTTCTTTAACCTTTCGTCTGTCAGTGGGCGCTTCGGTGATCTCCAACTCTGGCGATTGTGAACATGGGGATGCATGTATCTCTTTTAATTAGTATTCTGTATTCTTGGGGTTAATACCCCAAAAAATGACAATTGGATTATATGTTATTTCTGTTTCTGATGTTTGACAGAACTAAATTTTTGTGATCTTTGGCCTCTGTGGAGTGGGAAATAACCTGGTTCCTTAGAGATATTATTCTGGCACAGAACAAAAAATCTTGGTCAAATGTCTGTCTGCAGTGTTGAAGTCCCGCCCCTGCTCTCCCCATGCCCACCCTGGGGATGTGTCCCTGCAGGCTTCCCCACTATCTACTAGACTAGCAACTATCACTCCAACTACTACCTCTATTTTCATATCTTCTCTGGCTCTGGTCCTCTTGCCCCTCTAATAAGGGTCTTTCCTTACAAGGATCCAGAATCTCACTATCTCTTAACGAAATCACACCTGCAAGGTTTCTTTTCTCATGCAAAGTCATAAGTCATTCACATGAAGCTATGGAAATACTTGGGGGGCCTTATTCTATCACATGTTGGTGCACAGCTTTGGTACCTACAGAAAGACTCATTAAAGCCACTGGGCCACAGGTATAGACCAGCACTGGCTGGTAGTTCTGAAAAGGCCATCAGATTCTGGAAAAGACCACAGGAGCCAGGATGGGATCTGGCACCTGCAGCTCAGTCAGGCTCCTGTTACCTAGCTGGCCCCGTATGAGTAATCCCTAACAGTGATTACTGATGGTTTCTCTCTCTTTTTCTTTTCAAAGAGTTATTTATTTATTTATACATGAAAGAACTGGGACACAGGCCAGAGGTGTGGGGCAGTGGGGAGTGTGAGGATTCATCAGAGACAGAGTGAAGAGCAGAACAGGCAGAGATGCTGAAATACACTGCTGAGGGGAACAGCAGGTGGATCAGGAGAGGTCTGCTGTGCCTTGTGGGTGAGCAACCTGGCTTGGGATCAAACTCTTGCTGCAGTGGGCTGCGATAGCTTCACAGTGCTCCTATTTAACCCTTTGTGCCACCAGGGAGGCTCTGATGTTTTTCTCTCCCAATATGAAGTCGGACAATGACTTTGAGGCCTCTTTCTATGTTAGGTGGAGTTCTAATGGTTTATGAGGTTTTAACTTCCCACCACCAACAGCAGCAACCACCACCACCATTCCACCACAAGGTATATGTTATTACTAATATTATTTTCCATTAAAAATATATTTATATATTCATTTTTGAGGTAACATTGCTGTTATGGAAGTAACATTGCCAATATTATTTTACACTGCACTGATGATGATACTGACCACAGAGTAGCTAAGCAACATCCCATGTCATTCTTACCCCAGGCACACAAGCTCATTTTGCGACACAATCCCTTCTCCTCCAGTGACAAGTCACCTTTGGCTGGTTTTCCCAGTGGATTTGGCCAGAGATGTGAAGGGGGGAGAGAGCCACCTTGTGGTGGGGGAGGGAATCTGAGAACCTGGGACCTGTGCTCC